AACACTTTCTAAGATTACAAGACTAAGACATACTTATTTATTTGAGAAAGTATAATATCTGCTTATAATACTTATAAGTCATTACAAGCGTTTGAATCGCTTCCTTTTGCTTTGGATACAATTTTTTATCAAATAATTAATAAAATATAATTATATTTAATTATTTAATACAAAATAATAAATGATACATTATTTCTACAGTCCTAACCCCTGCACCACCAGCAGCCTCTGCCTTGTTCTTTTGTGAGTAGAATTCGTGTCGGAAAAGGATGAACGCATCCTCAGGCCGTTTGATGTAGTCTTTGTCACCACGGTTGGTCGTCACTCGGGACCTGTGAGTCAAATTGCGTGTGTGTGTGGGATGAGGTCGAGCGGGTTGTGGAGGTTGAGGCTGCGCCTGTTAGACAGGTTTAGAGTAGTTAGCAAGTGACAATACAAGATAAAAGGTGGATGTACTGCAACAGTGTGTAGCGAGTGTGACTGGTGCATACAGGTTGAGATCCGGAGCGTTGAACGAGTTGATTCAGGCTGAAGACAAAGCCATATCAGTATGCATATGATTATATTCTGACTGACGTGCAATTGGAGGAGTAGTGAACTGAGTCGTTTTTGTGGATTGTAAAGGTGTATCTCTGGGACGTACCGGCTCGAACAGAGAAGGCGAAGTGGAACGTATGGACGGACTCAGCTCAAGAGGGGTAAGTGGCGGTCCACTGCTTCCGTTCGATATGGTGTTGTCTGCTGCACTAGGGAATGTAAATGCACGTGGGGTGGACCTGTAGAGAGTGATGTTAAGCATGGAATGGGTAGGGAAGGAGAGCGCGTACAGCGTCGAAGAGAGGGTCGTACCATGGGAGTGGTCGTACGTTGGTATTGTCGCGAGCGCGCGCTTGTCGACTGTTGCTTGCACTACAGAGCGGGAAGTACGTGAATGTATGGAAACATTGAAGAAGTCGTTCGGCATTGGTCAACAATGCAGATGTGCGAATGCAAATGCAAAAAGGAAGGCGAGTGTAAACAAAGGAGGACAATGAAGGAGAGGTAACGCAAGTGGCGGAGCGAGGAGCGGGAGGGGTGGAAGGGAGACAAAAAGTTGGGAGGAGAGGGATGAGCAACCATTGTGTGAGTTATTATGAAGTGGACTGGCTGCTTACGCTTTACGATGAAGGACAGTGTAGTCAGCTCGGTGGCATCATCGCGGGATCTGAGGCTCAGCGCGGGCATCGCAGTGGCAGATTGGAGAGACAAGTACAGTGATGTTTATTGCCTATGTTGAAGCAGGCAGAGTGCCCGCCGGTGGGACGCTTGTAGGCAGAAGACTGGGCTAGAGAGAACAAGAGCAACGACATAGTGTTGGGGGAAGAGGATTGGGGAGATGGTGGAGGTAGGAGGGAAAGGAGTGACGAGGACAAGTGCGTCATTATATGCTCTCGA